GGTAGTGGTAGTAGTAGTAGTAGTAGGAGTAGGAGTAGGAGTAGGAGTAGGAGTAGTAGTAGTAGTAGTAGGAGTGGTAGTGGTAGTGGTAGTGGTAGATATATATATATATAATGCTGCGGATCAGGGCAGCACATGACATTTACATGCATAAATCCAGTAAAAAAGCAGGGTTGAACAAACTTTGGTAACACTGTTTTCATTGTTTTAGGACATGTCAAGGACCCAAGTAAAAAACCATGTAAAAATGAGGTTTCAGTTAGAATGGTCTCAAAATGCCATCCCCTATGGGTTTTTCAACACTGTTATCATCCAAAAATCCACAAAACGTCAGTCTATATTTCGCTCCATAGGTATATAGAAATACAAGTATGTTGACGTCCGTTGTTGCGGCCTTGGCCAGGCGTCCATCCAGACTATGCAAATCACATTGGGGCCAAGGGCAACAGGTACCAGTTGGCCTGCTGGCATTATGGTCCTTGCCTTTGTTGGTGTAATCCACAAAGGCGGGTTATAACTAGGTGGATTATAACTAGGATTTGTCCTTCAGAAGTGTAAGATTGCATCAGCGCCTGGTGGCATTCAACTACGGCGGCATCGTGCGAAACCTACTTTTCTGCCTGTGACCCAAACATTTGCTCAAAGGGCTGTTCGTGCGGGATACACACCGTAGTCGATGATGCAATTCCTAGCTAACCAAGGGACCAAAAGGTTTGCGACTTTGGGTACTGTCCAACCTGCATGGTTGACCACCAGTGACAAGTGTTAAAGGTAAATCGAAAGTTGTGGACAAAGCTTTTTATGAATCAGAGCTCTGTGCTCAAAGAAAAAATCCAGAAAGTGTTACTGTATCAAGCCTGATGCTATAGTTTGTCTGTGTGTGTCACTGTTTGTCCAGACACATTGCTTCCATGCCATGAATTGAAACGATGCACTTTGACCTTCATTTGCCAAATTTGTCTAAATTGCTAGCATGTATTGGTATACGGTAATACAGTATATTGCGAGCAAGCTTCAGAGTTGACCACGATGCTCCTCTTGCTAAGTTTCTCCTCAAAATCGCAGCGTGCCATGCCCCTTTATCATGAACTTCCTGTGATGTCCAACCTAATCCAACCTTTTTGCATTTGCAATGTGTTCCAACACCGGCCTTTATACAGTACCAGTAGTTGAACGAGCTCCACTTCAAGACTAAAGAACCATCTCTTTGATCCAAGCTTCAATGTCTTTTTCAAGCTGTGAAAGTTCAGCTTCTTGCTTTTCTTTGCGCTTGAGCTTGCCCATGGTGTCCTGGCATAAAGTCTATCTCAAATGCCATTCCAATGGAAGGGCAGCTGAGTGTTCGACCAAGACCGTCATGTGGGTGCCAGCTTGGAATGCAGTGTTCACCTGGCCCGACTGTGGGGTCAATTGCAATAGCTTCAAGTTATATAATAGCTTCGAAAGTTAAGCTTTCAAAAAAATCCAGGAACCAAATCATGGGGGCTTCCTTGAAGAAGCGTGAGCTATCCTGCGTCCATGCTAGTAGCGTACTAGTCAGGTACTAGCCACCTCTCCGTACTAGCTACCCCCAGCTACTTCTCTACGGTCTACCCGAGTCTACCCCCTTAAAAAAAGAAAAAACGAGCCTGCTCCCACTTGGCTTTGAGGCCTTCGAGCAAATCTTCCCGGTCATCTTCCGTCATTGGACGTACTCTGTCTGCCTTGGCAACGCACCGTATTCTCTCAGCGCCAAGCCGAAAAGAATTTGGTAAAGCCTCTTCTTGTGCTTTCTGCTCTTGCAAAGCCCTGGAAAGCAGACTGGAATGTACAAACGCACCCAATCATACACTCATGCAAAAAAAATAAAGAAGCATTTGCTTTGCATGCTCCTAATGTACTGGTACTCTGTGTCAATGTCCTGCGCTTGCGCGAATTGGAGCAGAGTTCTGTGAAACACAGCATTCAGACTGGTCCTGCTTGATCTGCTGCAAATACTTTGGTACCTTTCCATAGTCCTCCTTCTTCAAGTAGTCCTCAAAGATCAGCCACAATGGTGGAATTCACTGGCTCGGCTGGGTCGAGCTTTTTAGACACTTGAAAACCGACCCCGGTCTTTAGTCAGTCCTTAGTCTCTTCAGGCACCTTTTTCGGCGCTGCAAGAATTACTTCGACGGCATTCGCTACCTTCAAGACAAAACGGAGAAAAAGAAATCGACTCACAGCCTGACAGTCAGTGGCTCAAAGCCGCTGACCGTCCTGAGTTTCAGCTACATCAGCAACTGGTTCAATATAGTCTGTTGTCATTGAAATAGAGCATTGTCTCGAAGCAATTTGAACTAAGCAACGATGAAGTTCTTGCTGGTGACCAGGTTCATAACAGGCTTCTCAGATGCAGAAGGTGGTCCATGTCTAGTCTGCGGTTTCCTTGGCGCGGTGAAACCATCAAAGCAGTTTAAGCACATTGTCAGCTGAGAGCTTGGCAATTGCTTTGGGACGAGGGCTTCTGGGTGCTCCTTCTTCATCTCTTTGAGAGTCAGAACCTACGCAAGGAAGTTTTAAAATGCTGGAACCATCTCTCATTCCACGGTAGAAAGAAGTCCAAAGAAGTCCAGCCTTGCCCGCACTCTTCCTCAAAAATCTGGCAGGATCGTCACCTGGAAGTCACGCGGGCAGTCTTGAAGCCTTTTTTGACGGGCCCAGGGGGGTAGGCCGCCAGTAGAGGTAGAGAGGTAGGAAGCTAGTAGCAGCAAACTAGCTAGTGCCTTACTTAAGCTACTAGTACGCACGCAGGATAGCCCGCGCTAATGATTTAGTTCCTAGATTTTTAGGGAAACTTAACATGCCACGACCTGTAACACCAAACGAGGTTCCCAAGAACATCACCCGATATCACCCGTGTGTTTCAAACAAGCACGACTTGTGGACAGCGTCAAACCACTTAACTGCCCTTTGCTCACATTGGGAACGGGTACAGAAAGTGATAGTCAGAAAGATAACAAAGAGCACAGAGTGGCTCCCCAAGTGAACAGGACTTAATTACGAACCTGATGGAGACATCACAAAGAGGTGGGGTAGTGAAAAGCCCCGTGTCTTTTGCAATACCTCGAAACCATGTTATGTTTTTGTTTACTCTTATCGTTTTCTCAGGTGAAAGCATCTTTGGTGGAAGATCACAAATCAAAAGATGTCACTTGGTGGTCTACATGGTCCTACTTCAGGATCCCGTAGCACTGCCTGTACCAAGGCGTACACCGTCTTTGGTGGTAGTAAAGACACGGCAGCAGCAAAGATCAGATATAGACAGCTAAACAAGACTACCACATCGCACACTTCTGCCCTTCAAAAGGTCTAATGAAAACAGTCATGGGTACTTGCCCACCAGGGCTGCTTTTTGCTACATGTCCTTATCGTTTTCGTTCTCGTTGCCATTTTCGTGGTTCCTGTAAACAGCTGCAGCATAGGATCCAAACAGCTCATTCAGTTCCTAGTAGTAAGGCCAGGAGCCCCTAAGAGCTTTTTGTTCCTGGTGGCGATGCCAGGAGACCCTCATAGCTGCTTGTTGCTTTGTAGTAAGGCAAGGAGCCCCTAGTGGCTTCTTGTTCCTAGTAGTAAGGCCAGGAGCCCCTAGTAGCTTTTTGTTCTGAATGCGCAGGTATAATTCATCGTGTTTTTTTACTCTTATTGTTTTCTGGGGTAGGAATGCATTAGTAGTGTTAAGGTGCATGCCAATACTAAACCGCTGAGCGCGGGGTTATTTCAACAGCCCCGGTGAAAACATGATGCAAACGTTCCAAGAATGAATCAAGTGTCACAAGTGGATCAACCTTATTGCGCGATAACAAAAAAAGAAAACACATACTAGATGCGCTTGGTGTTGGATTCGCAAGTCAAAGACTCAATGAGGGATATTGTGCAAAGGCTGGAGGAGAACAGGGAAAGCAAAAGCTGCCAGATAAGTTTGGCCAGGAAGATCACGGTCGTAAGCCACCCCAACATCAAACCGCATGCAAGCCACTGTAGGAACCTTTTGGCTTGCCAAAAGTCGAATGTGATTTGTCTGTCACAGGCCTCAGCTTCAAGTCGCTCATCTCCGTCGAAAAAAATCACAAATTGAAGTCGAGAAGCTTTTGATCTAGAGAGCCCCCAATGTTTGCAACCTAAGTTGCTTGGTGCGGCTGGGTTTGCCTTTTTAAGCTGTCAATGTCAGAATGAAGGGAAAAGGAGCCCCACATGCTACCAAGACTCAAATCAGATTGTGCGGGTTGAGTGGTGAAGCGGTAAAGCCGTAGGCAAAACTCTGACCCACAATTTGTGTATCAGAGCTCGTAGCTGTTTGTCAACACAATCACAAAGTCAAATCAAGACAAAACATTGCAAATGCAATGAAATACGGGTGACCGCTGGGCATGTGGTTCCACCTGTTGGGAACGTCGAGGCAGTTGGTGGCAAGTCTGCAGAGTGCCTGAATGCATTTTGTTCAGCATTTGTGCTGGTAGATCAAAATGACCAAAGTTCCATTGGCCAAGTCACTTTGACTTGTACATGGGTGGTCGCTCCTGAATGACCAGGCAGTCTTTACAGGTCTTCCGTCCAAACAATGTCTGACAATGTCTGAGCAGTCTTCCGTCTATACAAGTCTTGACTGTCTAGACTACCTGTTGAAGCTTCCACCTTTGAGTTCATCCGATTAATCTGTGTTATCCTCTGCTTGGTTCTAGGATAGCAAAACTTTGGACGGAACAGAGTAAGAATCACACATACTTTATATGTGACATATCGCTACATCATTCTAAGAAGCTGTTTTAACCATTGAAGCACTGACTGGTCGCTGATATATTGCCAGCGCTGGCCTGCACAACAGGCTTCGGTGGAATGAGGTTGTAGATTGACTCCTGGTGCATCCTTAGTGCACTGGTCCTAGGATCTTCTGCGTACATTTATCGTTGTTAATGGTGAGATGCATTGTAAGATCAGTGAAGGCAAGCGTCATCAGCATGGTCGGCAAAAAAGAGTGCCGTCCAAGCCGTCCGATCAACTTTGAAGTGGAAAATCTTCCTTGAAGAGATTGTTTGAACCCTCCAAGCTGCAGCAAGCAGAAGTCTAGGTTCCAAGATCATATGTGCACAAGGCCAACTTCAGCAGTTGACACAGATACTGTATATATATGTATATAATATAGATGATTACGCAGGCTATTACGTCACATCTAACTAATGTGGCACTTCCAAGACAAAAGTACAAAGCTGTGGAGGCCACCAGCCCCCGGTTTCCGCCCCTTCGGGTCAATCGCACCTTGGAATGACCACATCGAGTCCGCAAGGCTTGCAGCCAGTTGTCAAAAGCCGCGGCCTTGAGATCCAAAGAACGCCACCCAAGTGTATGGGAGTGGTGGTGGTGGTGGTGGTCGTAGTCGTAGTCGTAGTCGTAGTAGTAGTAGTAGTAGTCGTCGTCGTCGTCGTCGTCGTTGCTTGCGGCTGTAGTCGGGCTACCAAAAGACTGGACACTTACTGTATCTTGTTCAATTTTCAACCAGCTCCCTTTTTTGCATCTTTGCCATGCTTGAACGTCCTGTGGAAAAGATAAGGGAGACCCATGCTACTCTGCCCCGGCACTTTGGAGGCATCGCCTCTCGGTCGCCTGTCTCACTTTGGTAGTTCACCTTGCGCCTTTGGCTTCTCTCTTCGTAGCTCGCCTTGCTGCTTGATTTGCAATATTCATCACTGACCTCTCTGCCCTGAAAGTGCTAAGCTGCTAAGGAATGCACAAGCTTTGCACATCAAGTTGGACAAGTGGTGCGATCTTACTCTAAGGAAAGGCAGGGAAGTTGAAAGGGCTCCTTCTGTAGCCTACCAGCTCGTGGAGTAGAGCCCTACATCTGAAATCCGTCTCTATGGGAGACGAGGTGAGACGAGGTGCAGGATCTCCACAGGCTCTACTCAATTTCAATCCGCCGACCCCTGCCTTGCTGACGCCTAGGCGGGGCGGAGCGTTTCGCCGTGGCGCCGCTGCCTTTCTCTGCCCAAGCAGATCCAGAGTGCGTCGACGGTGCCGTTTCTGGGTGTGGCCGTCGGTTGCATTCTGCCTTATACGCACGCCTCTGACTCAGCTGCCAGGCAACTGGGCTTGGGCATTTTGGCTGTAAGGTCCCGAAGGCGCATTTTGGTTGGCTGCGGCTCGGCCTACACCTCTTTTCTTTAGGGTTTGGAAGGCGACGTGCCAGGCAACGTCAGGCACTTTGGCTGGCTGCGGCTCGCCTCTGTGGAACTATAGATGGTGGTTGGCAGCCCTCAAACGCTGCCCGGAGCCTTTGGCCCACTCCTGCACCGCAGCCTTGCCTGGCAGAGCCGGCGCACGTGCTGTAAGTTCCCGAAGGCGCATTTTGGCTGGCTGCGGCTCGGCCTACACCTCTTTTCTTTA